GTATATAGAATTATCAGAAGATAAAGAGGATAGCGATTTAGAGGAACGTGAGTTGTGAAATACTGTGTCTTGCTATAGAAAGTAAAATAGGAAATTGATTCCTCAAGCACGGCAATCAATGTAAGAGTCCAAAAAGTGTTAAGCTGTGTTTCGCTCGCAAGAAGTCGCACGAGAGAATGATCGATGTAGCGATCTGGATAGTCCAAAGGGAAATGTTAGAACGAGAGATGATGAGGGAGGGATATCGTAAGAGAACGAGAGGGAGGGAGGGAGGGAGGGTGAGAAGCAGAGGTGGAAAGGTACACGACAGTCATAGCTTCATTGCCAAGTACCCCAGACGGTCCAGGCACACCGAAAGATGGGAAGTGACCACGACTTACCGCGACAGGAAAAAGCAACCGGATTTTCTAAGGATCAGCGAAACAAGACCAACGCGAAGACGGAAGAGAACGAGGGGAGGGAAAGACGGAGGAGAGTTGCGTGGGAGAGGAAGAGAGAGAGAGGAAGAGAGAGAGAGGGAGAGAGAGAAAACGAGGGAGATGAAACTGTTTCAGATAGACTCGGCGAGGCACCCGCGAACCCCTCGACTCTCGTCCCACCCTTCCACTCCGCTGGTTCTTTGTCTTTGTCCGGGATCTTCTTCTGATTAGGTATCTTCTGCAATATTCTTCTGTAATAATAATAGTCTTCGACACTTTAAATCTACTGCGGACTAGAGGATGGGTTACAATGCCCTTATGGAGCGGAGTGGAGGGGTCTTTGGAGACCGGTGTTGGTGGTCTCCGTTATCTTTATGTCGATGGGATCACCTTCATTTAGCCTATTCTTCCTGTCTAATGGAGATACCCAGAACGCTACAGCAGGGCCCTGCCTCGTACAAGCCAATTATCGTTACACCGTCTAGCTCATTTAGCCATTGTGGACCTTCAAGGGCGCAAACATGTCGGGGGTGAGATGTATAGACCAGGGGGGGCAGTGGAACCCTGCATATCTTAACCCATAGGTAAACTACACTATATCTGAGCCACTTTAGTTTCTTCTTAATTGAATCATGAACCAAGGAATCACTTTATCTAAACCAGAGATTATGCACAAGACTCTCTCAACTTCTATATACTAGGTACCGGCGAATTATCTCCCCCATACGAGCCTTGCCAACTCTATATGCTGATCACAAGGCCAACGGTCTTGCAACACAAGAAAAGAATGCAGTCATCGAAATCTTCCACCGTCTATATGGTATATCCCGATCCTCGCTCTAATGCAAAAGAAGAAAGCAACTACGTCTCCAGCGACTGATGGATGACACTGGTTCGATACGTCTCACTGCGCTGGATCAACTCCTGATGCGTGCCCTGCTCCACGCACCGGCCCTCCTCGATCAAAAAGATCTGGTCCGCGCGGTGGATGGTATTCAGCCGATGCGCAATCGCCACGATGGTCGTGCGGCCCGCCAGCGTCGCCAACGCTTCCTGGATGCGCTTCTCCGACTCCACATCCAGCGCGCTGGTCGACTCGTCCAGCAGCAACATGCGCGGCTTGCGCACCAGCGCCCGCGCAATCGACAGCCGCTGCCGCTGCCCGCCCGAGAACTGCTTCCCGTCGTGGCTGCACAGCGTCTGGTACCCCTCCGGCAGCGCCATGATCACCTCGTGGATGTTGGCCATGCGACATGCCTCCTCAATCTCGGCCAGCGTCGGCTCGTGGCCCGGCCGCGCCCCCAACCCAATGTTGAAGGCCACTGTGCCCTCGAAGAGGACATTCTCCTGCGGCACTAGCGCGATGTCATCACGGAACTCCGTGCCCAGCTGCCGTGTGATGTCGACCCCGTCAATCACCACCGATCCTGCCGTCGGCCGGTAGAACCGCTCCAGCATCGCAAAGGTCGTCGACTTGCCCGACCCGCTGGGCCCGACCAGCGCGCAGAACTGCCCTGGCTTGATGTCAATGTCCAGGCCCTGCAGGATCGGCCGCTCGGGCCGGTTAGGGTATGTGAAATGCACGCCTCGCAGCTGCGCGCCAATCGCAGGCCCAGCCGTCGGCGCACGAGACATCTCGCGCGCCTCGACGTCCGATGCCGCCGCCTTCTCCTCTAGGAGTGTCCTCAGCAGGCTGGAATGCCCGCGACGTCCCCTGGGTTCATCTCCTCCCTCCGCGGACCGCGTGGTGAGCAGGGTCGACGATGTTGGACGATGCAACTCCGCGCCCTTGAGATGTCAGGCGCCAGTG